AAAAAAAAAAAAAGAAATCTAACAACACCACTGCATTGGGCAAATCTGCTATAAAAGACTTTTTTAAAGTGTTAAAAAGCAAAGATGTCACTGTAAGGACTAAGGTGCTCCTGACCCAAGCCATGGTGTTTTCAGTCACCTCATATGCATGCAAAAGCTGGACAGTGAATAAGGAAGACTAAATAATTGACGCCTTTGAGTTATGGTGTTGGTGAAGAATGTTGAATATACCATGGACTGCCAAAAGAATGAACAAATCTGTCTTAGAAGAAGTACAGCCAGAATGCTCCTTACAAGCAAGGATAGTGAGACTGTGTCTCACATACTTTGAACATGTTATCAGGAGGGACCACTCCCTGGAGAAGGACATCATGCTTAGTAAAGTAGAGGGTCAGCGAAAAAGAGGGAGACCCTCAATGAGATGGACTGACACAGTGGCTGCAACAACGGGCTCAAGCATAACAATCATGAGGATGGCGGAGGACCGGGCAATGTTTCATTCTCTTGAACACAGGGTACCTGTGAATCAGAACTGACTCCATGGCATCTAACAACAACATCAAAACACAGAGCAAACAATCCTAATTACTGTTGTAAAGTGATCACACAATTTAGAGCAAGACTTAGAAGACACCTGGAGGTAACAGGTGCCTTTCTCATTAATATTCTATGGTTCCCTGTCTCCATTCACTCAAAACCCAGCCTTCTCCCCCTTTCCCTGCTGATAGGCCTGGAAGGGGCAGGGGACAGGATGTACAGCAGAAGTGTAAACCTCTCTAGGTGATTCTGGTGCAATCCACCTCCAAACACACACACATAGAGCACAGCACACCCCATTTTCTAGCTTAGTCTACGTCTTTCCTAGTCAAAAGTCCATAGGCAAGCCTTACACAGAGCCAAGGCAGGTGACTGGGGCTTGGTCCTGGGACACTAAAATTTAGAGAGCGCAAAAAAGTGCTATTACTGATTTTAAAAGACTATATGATTTTAAATTTTGTTAAATTTACATGTTGATGATTCAGGCATTCCTTCAGCAGTGCAGAAACAGCTGAGCTTAGCACCTAGTTAGCAAGAATAATTAGTTAAAATGGGAAGCTAGCAGATGGTGCACATTGTTAGTAACACCCCTCTGCGCCAAATTGTGAAGTACAGAGTTGACTGAGGGTCCATTTAGCGTTACTTGCCCAAAGCATCAATATTGCCCGTTCTGGGCAAATGCAAAGTCTGGTTTCAGGGTCCTTCGTATTGAAAACTCTTGTTGTTGGCAGAGGCTGTTTGGCCATTCATTACTCCAGGAAGCACGTACCGTCACCACCTATTTACAACTTACTAAGGAGGTGAGACGTTACCTTTCCTGGCTTTCCCAATTTAAATCTCAGTTCTGCCTTGTATCTTCCATACTTTCAGGCAAAAAGAAAAGGAATGAGAAAATGACATCATCACTCAGTGTGGGACTGCTTTAAACCCAGGTTGGTGTCTTCCCCATCCTAGTTCACCTGGGCAGCCAGTTTCCCAGTGACTCCAACTCTCCTACAGGGGATTCTTATGAATTAGCAATGCCAGGACAGTTCTCCTGTTGTACAGCCTACTTTCTGTCTCAAACAACACACACCATGGTCTTCACTCTTTTCCCACAACATCATTTTGAAACTTTCTTAAACCAAACATGGCACAGTTTTAAACAAAAAGATTCAGTTTGCTGTGATAGAAAAAGCTCAGGACTAGGAAGTAGGCAACAGAGGCTCTCACCTCAGTTCTGCCCCACTAACTAGCTTTGTACCCTGAGTAAATCACTTCCCTCTCCCAATAACCAGATAAGCAGGACTTTACTCTTAGCTGGCCCTTATGTGTCATTACTAAGCTATGTGACTTTGAAAAATTAACTTCCTTGAGCCTCAGTTTCATCACCTACACCATGAGAACGTTGGGCTAGATGATCTGAAAGGCCGCTCTTGTGGTAACTTCCTATGAATGTATTTAAACTGGTTTCTCCATTAAGGTCAGTGTGGACAGGTTGATTCTGATGTAATGGTAACTTATCCAAGAAGAACTGGACAGTAAGCACTTGGAGAAACGGGGCTGAGATTCAGTGTGAAAAGAGGGAGGGGCGATTAAAAATACATTTTGAGCTACAAGACATTACACTGAGTGGAATAAGTCAATCGCAAAAGGACAACTATTGTATGACCTCACTTATATAAAATGACAAGAAAAAGCAAATGTATAGAGAACAAAGTCTATCAGCAGTTACCAGGGGCAGGAAGGAGATGGAAATGGGGGGTTAACAGTGATGGAAATATCGCATTGATTAAGGGTAGGGTTGCACAGCCGTTTATTGTAATTGCTGTCATTAGCTGTACACCTGTAAAAAGTTGAATTGGCAAAAGTTGTGTAATAGATCTATGTACAACAATGACCAAACAAAAAAAACAAAAACAAAAAAAAAACGAG